GACAACCTCGGGAGAAAATACATCTTCCCAGACTTTATACTGGGTCGAGGGACATAACCACTCTCATTTTATTCCCATACATCTTGGCATTTCTACGTATTAGAAATTAACATGTAAATTAAGAAACATACTCCCCCCTCTCAGAATCCCATAACTTCTCATCTACAACTTCCTCATAGGACTGGCCACCTTCTCTTACTGTTCTGGAGAGCTGCTGACATAGCTGCTAATGTACTTTACTGCATACATTAGATTACCAGGGGAGGCTAAACATACATAAATAGGTAACACCAGGCACCCTTTGCTGAAAGAGCCTAGAGATAGATGAGAAAAGTGACCCACCCAAGGTCACACAAAGAACCAGTAGCATAAACAAATCCACCAAAAGGTCAAAATCCACCTGACTCACAGCCCAGTGATTTTTATCCTGCCTCTTCTAACTGTGTAAAAGGCTAGAAGTCTTTGAGATGTAAAAGAAACATAGGCAAATGTTTCTGTAATCCTGCCAGAGGCTAAAAGTGGTTGCCATAGCAAGACAAAAGCAATCCACTGCAACGTCACAAGGCAAATCAATAACAGTTGTCAAAAGACAAAATTACAAGAAATTTAGTTTAGGGATCTTAATTGGCTTTTATTTAAGGTACTAGACTCCAGCAACACCTCACTCTATAAAATAGAACAAGTTTTCCAATGATCAAAGGAGGTTGGTTTTATAGACAGAAAGGGCTGAGGAAAGCAGAAACGGAACCAAAAGTGAGTTGGGCATTTCAAAGTTACTTTCCTTGTAAAAAGGTTAAAGCAGACGAGACTTCCTTATTATGCCAGATAATACAGGCTTGTTTGAGGAATTGGCTGTTGTCTTTCTTTTTGCTGATTTCCCAGAAGTTCCAGTAAATAACTTAGCTTCAGCTTGGTGGCATGAACTTCAGCATAAGTAACTTCATTTTGGTTTGGTCTGACGGGCCTAGTGCATGCAGGAGCTCAGTCTAAACCAACAGCCTCCTATGAATTTTTTTTAACATAGTGACAACAATAATGTGACCATGGTCATGATAGAGAATTCTTATTATGTGCCTGGCACTGTTCTAGAGACTTTACACATCTTTTTAATGCCCTAAGTTCTTGAAGGCAAGGGGCTTTACAAATATTAACTCTTATAATTATCACAACTTCGTTACGTGGGTACTATTATTATCTCCATTTTTCAATGAGGCAAGGTCAAGTAGGGAGGTTAACTTGCTCAGGGTCGTCTAATAGCAACTAACATTTATTGAGCACTTGCCATGCGCTATAGTAAAAACTAAGTCTAGAAATTGTACTAAGTGGCATTAACTCGTTTAATACTTAATGCAACCCTAAGATAATTACTATCATTATCACACTTTCAGATGAAGCCAACAGAGCTGAGAGGGTAAGTCGCCCGAGCAGCCCGAGCCCAGGGCCCGCGCTGTTAACCACCAGCTCCGTGGCTAAGCGCAGGGCGAGCGACACAGGCCGGGCGCGAGTGGACCGCGCTCTGGGCACAGATCTGTCCCTTGCAGTCCTCAGTGGGCCGCGCGGGAGGTCAGATCGGGGTGTAGGCCCTCAGCTCCCCGCTTCCCGGCGCCCCAGCCAGGCACCGGCACCGGGCAGCTCCGCGCATCGCGGGCCGCTACTGCCCCCTGCTGCCCGCCGGCCCCGGAGCCCGCGCCCCCCTCGGCCCTCGCGGGGACAGCCTGGCCCGGGTTGAGCCGCCAGGCTGCGACCCGCCCCTCGGGCCGCGACCACCACGCACACGCCGCCACCAGTGCCCCCGCCAGAGCGAACGGAAGCCCGGCTCGCGGCACTCTCCTCGCCGCCCTCGCGTCCCTCCCCCGGGATGGCTGGCGATCGCCGCAGCCTCCCGCCCACCCGCGCCAGGCCCGCAGCCCCGACGCCCGGGTTGCCATGGTGAAGAACGCGGGCCACGCGCCGGAAGGGGCGTCCTCGGGCCGCCGGCGCGCGCCCGGGCCCCAGGAAGCGCGCGGAAGTGGCCGGCGCGCGGTCCGGCCTCCTCCTGGGCCGGGGCGCTTCCGGCCCCCTAGGGGTGCCGGGGACGCTCCTCGCAGGCTTCGCTGCCAGGTGACAGCCACCGGGCAGCAAGAGAAGTGGCGACCCGGGGGTGCGGAGACTCTCCCTGGGCTCTTGGAATGCCAAGGCTATAGCCCCGCTCTGGTCCTCACTTTCCCGCCATCAGTGCCCTGGAGCCCGCGGTTGCCATGGTGACGCGGGCCGCGGAGGAGGGCAGGGTTCTGACCTTTACAGAGCCGCGCAGTTTTCGGCAGCTTGGATGTGCTATGATGTTGACCTCTGTCACTGGAGGGCATTGATTTTTTTTTTAAGTCTTTTGTTATTACAAACAATACTAAAATAATATAGTAATAGCCTTGTATAAACCTCTGTGTACATGTGCAGTTTTCTCTGTAGAACAAATTTATGAAAGTAAAATTTCTATGTGAAAGGCCAAATGCAATTTTAATTTTCATAGACATGGCCATACTGCTCTCCAGAGACAATAGCAAATTTATATCCCCACCAAAACTGGAGTCTGGTCATTTTAATTAGGATGATATCAACAGCGATAAACTGCTGTGAAAGAGTTTTCCAGAGCCAATGCCATTAAGCCAATTTAATTCTTTGATCAGTTTTTTTATATAACATGATTAAACAGTATCCCATTTTATTTTATGGAAATTGTCTTCAATCAGTGATTCTTTTACATGTAAATATCATAATGAAGATTTTACTTCTTTAATAATTGGTATATTGAGCTTTAGTTTCAGTCATCGTGAGGTTTCTTATTTCACACTCATTTTATTGAAAAACAAAAAATAAATCAAACCCGGACAGTCAGAAGCTGGCCTGGTACCAGAGCTCAGCTATGCTCTTCTCCTGTTAGAAATAAACAACGTCACGGAATAATAACCTCAGACAAGGTTACTGAGAGCATGATAAAATGAGACACAGCAAGTCTACTTTGCAATTTTGTCAAAGCACAGACAAAAAACAGTCAGCGTGCCATCCAGGAAACACCAAACCTCCCTCTTTGCAAAAGTGAGTGACTACTATTTGTTTACCACTTACAGTTTTATCTTTGTTTGAGTCTGCCTTCCCCATAGATTAGCTTTATTGAGATACTCGATCATGGAATTGCTCCTGCTTCAGGCGCAAATCCAATAATAGGTTCGTTCTAATATCCTTTTATTGAGATACCTCCATAGTTCCCCCCGGGTATGTACTCTCCCTCAATGTGAGTGATAAACCCAACTTGTTCCATCTCCAGTATGTTCCCAGTCAGTGGTCTTTGGCTAGAAGGCATTGGCCCTAGCAGTTCCATTTCTTTGGTGAAATTTTGTAGGTCTAAAACTTGTCAGTGACAGTCCTCCACACATGTTTAGTAAGGAACAAATTTTACATGGGCAGTCTGTTTCAGGTACTACCACCAGAACCGATTTCTCCCACTTTTTGACAATTTCCAGTGTTACCCTCAAGATGGGTCCTGTGAGTTTTTTTTAATAACAAACTTAGCAGGTGCTATCTTAACCATTGTCCATTTTATTTTGTATTATTCATTTCTACTGGCGATAGTCATTATGAATCAGGCAGAAGACTGATAATTGTTTGATCTGCTTCTTGACTAAAGAACCTTCAGTAGGGCAATAATGTAGGACTTGGATGCACAGCAAGGTGAAAATGATCTGCTTCAACTGGACGGCTTACCGTGTGCCACCATGCCCTTTGCTGGGCACTGGGGACACAGGCCCTGCCGGGAAGTAACTCTCAGTCTAATTAGAGAGAGAGGAGCTGGCCGGCCTCAACTTGCCAGATGGACGAGAATGAAAAAGGCCTTCCAGATGGAGGGAACAGCCAAATGCAAGGGGTTTATTCATTCAGTAAATATTTATTGTGTGCCTACTTTGTGCCAGGAACTGGGCTGTGCATTGGGGAGGCAGGAATGAACGCCTTCCAAGTGGTGCCTGCCTTCCAGGAACTCTCAATCCAGCGGGGAAGATGCATGTTAAGCAATCACACTAAAGAGGACAATGTGTAATAACCACTGCAAAGACAACCCCAGAGTTCTGTGGGAGCTTGGGACACTAGCAAACTGACAAGTGTTGGAGGGGCAAAGAGGGCTACTTTGAGAGACTGACTTTTAATCTGAGATGTGCAGGATGAGTTGGAGTTTGCAGACAAAGAGGAGGGTTTTCCTGGTAGGGGAAACAACTCATGCCCCGCAGTAGGAAAAGGCTTGGCCCTTCGGAGGGGCTGACAGCAGGTCAGTGTGCCTGGAATGAAGTGGGCAGAGGGAGAGTGTTGGGGGATGAAGGAGGTGGAAAGAGAGCCTGTACCTGCAAGGCCTTGCCCATCACCCTAAGTCGTTTGCATTTTAATTTAAAAGCAATGAGTCAGGGAACAGTATCAAGATGAGGAGTGGGATGTTTAGATCCAAAATATATTTTACAATGTCTATGTGGAGAATGGATGGGCGGAGGGTGATAAATGCCATGAAACCAATTAGAAAGAGACCACTGCAGTTGTCTGCAGGAGAGACAATTGTGATTGGACCAGGCAGCATGCAGAGGAGGGAAGTATGCGGTGGAGTGTTGAGGGAATGAAATCGGTGGGAATGAAATCAGTGTAGATTGAGGAGTGTGTTAGGTGAGAAATATCTAGTGACAAATACAGGAAACAACCCTGCTATGGACAGAATTGTGTTCCCCCAAAATTAATGTGTTCCAATCCCAACTTTCAGTGCTTTAGAATGTGACTTTATTTAGAGATAAAGTCTGTAAAGAGCTAATTAAGGTTAAATGAGGTCACATGGGTAATGGCCTCCTATGACCTATTCCAATAGGACAAGTGTCCTTACAAGAAGAGAGACCCCCAAGGGTGCACACGCACAGAGGAAAGGCCATGTGAGGACGCAGCAAGAAGGTGGCCATCTGCAAGCCAAGGACAGAGTCCTCAGGAGAAACCAAGCCTGCCGACACCTTGATCTTGGACTTTCAGCTTCTAGAACTGTGAGAAAATACATTTCTGCTGTCTAACCCACCCAGCTTGTGATATTTTGTTATGGCAGCCCTAGCAGATTAATACAAACCCAAACATCCAAATAAATGGGTAGTTAGGAAATATAGTGCATCCATATTTGGGAGTCTTACCCATGCAAGTTCAAGATTTCAGCTTTTGGGGAAATTTCATTGAATATCCTCTCTTTGGGCTGTGAGGAATTTCATTGCTTTTACAAGAACCAATATTGAGCCTCTGGTGCAGCCTCCAAACACTCTTCTCGACAGTGACATAGCTGGTGCGGGTTGTAGTTAAGTTTGCTAGTTACAGCGGCAACTTCGCAAGCATCGTTTCCTTTGTCTTTATTATTCTGGTCTTTTTTTTTTTTTTTTCAATTTCATAACTTTGAGAATCATATGTATGCTTTGCTTATGAACTCTTGCAGTGATTGTGGACCATCAGTTAAAATATCTTTCCCATTTAGGAAAATTCACCCTACGAATTTTTTAGTAACTAATTAATCTTGTAATGAGAGGAAAGGCTACTGAATTCTATGCAATTATGCAAAAGAAATAAAGTAGGAAAAAAAATGAGGTAGAGCTATATATACTGACATGAAAAGATGCCCAAACCATATGGTTAAAGGAAGAAGAGATGTGTATGTAGAGGACGAATCTATTTTTTTTTAAAAAAAATATAACCATTTGTTAGTAGAGACTTAGGGTAAAAATCTGGAAATACATACAGCCAACTTTTAGAGGGTTGTAAAAATTCTATCATTTCAAGATCTAAGTTCTGTCAAATGACCCCCGCTGATGAGCTGATGGCTTCTGCAGCAGGGACACTGTAATACACAGTTCTGTGCTAAAGGCCAATACACCAGGGAGCGTGCCCTGGTCTGCCACTCTGGTACTCCCATGCTTACCGTCCATGACACATGACCCAAAGCGGCCTTCAGGGTCAAGCCACATGGTAAATTCAAGTAAAGCTTAGTGTCTGTCTTATTTTTAAATAAACATAATCATGAATAAATTTAGTAAATAAATGCTAATAGCCTCCCACCCCAATGGATCATCTTGAACACTGAAGCCTATTTGAGAGAATGCTGATGTATTAATATATATATAGAGAGAGATGGAGCACCCTGCATATGGGTTGGAGTGCGATTCATTAGCACAGTATGCGCATGCAGCCAGAATACAATTGTGTGCATGAAACATCCACTGGGAATGACTCGGGGAACACGACTATTCTGACAGGGGTGGCATGAGCACTACCAGGCACTTGTTTTCTTGTCTCAGAAAGGAGGAAGGTGGACTTTGATGATCTCTAAGACGGCTTCCCGCTGACTCTCTGAAATCCCTGGACCTCTCTAAGCCACTGATGAAGCCATTGAAGTGGCCGTACTGGAATGAAGTGGTGTCCTTAAAGGAAATTGTGCCCAAGGTAACTGTTAAACAGTATGACACATAACAGTCTTTGAACTAAACGTATTTTAAGTCATTTCATGTGATTCTGTGTAGTTCTTCTACACCGTTACCAAGGAGAGAAAAGAAGACTGAACATTGCCAAAGTGATTGTGTACATTTTGGGAAAATTATTTCATTTGTCAAAATGAAATTCACACCACTTTTAAGCCAAAAAAGAGCAAATGATCAAAATGGCATTGAATTAGACAAAAGGCAATCAAGCAATCTTTATTGAAAGTCTCTGTGCTGGGGTTGATGAAGGAATCACAATAATCCTGGCTGACATTTTTCATGACATTTATTGTGTTATGTGCCAGGTAGAGCCAGATCAAAGCAGGGATTATCTGTGCAGCTGCCCAAAGCACAATTCATAAGCAGCACTAAAATGTCAAGGGAACAAATGGGGAATGTGGCACCAGTTACCTGGGAATTGTACAGTTTCCTTTGGAGTTGGCAAACTATTAGGAGGTTCCACTCCTGCCAATGTAGGCGGCACATTCGCATGATGCGACAGAGAGTAGGGATGTGTTGGGAAGGGGGTGAGGTCTTCAGATCAAGTTGAGGAAGTGACTGTCAAGCTAGGACCACCTAGAGGTGAAGAACTGAAACAAGAGCGTAGCAGGTGCAGAGACAATGCAAACAACCTGGTCCCAGGTGATTGGGGACCAAGCACAGGAGCCTGGGAGGGAGAGAGTCATCGGTGAGGGTGGGAGGTCGTTGGAAGCCACATAAAAGAATTTTAATAATGTCTGAGCAGGGATGGGAAAACACTGAGGCTTTTGACAGGGAAGTGGCCTGAGCTGCCTCATCTTTGGAAAGACCCATTTGGGTGGTGGGTGGAGAACAGCTCCAGGAAGGCCAGAGTGGAGGCAGAGTGGATACTCAGCTCTTGGGGTAGTTGGTCTGCAACTACAGTAGTTGGTCTTGGGAAGATACTTCTAGCTAGAACCATCAGGGCTTGTTGAAGGGAAGAGGGGAAATGAAACTTGAGCCCTAGGATTGTGGCCTGTGCAACTGGGTGGCTGGTGGCGGGTGGCCATTTACTGACATGTGGCAGACCTGGGAAAGGTGAGGTTGTGAGCAGAGGCTCAAGAGTTTTGTTTGTAAAATATCTGTTCTAGAGATACAGAAGAAAAAAATAGAGATTAAAATAATAATTTAAAAAAAGCATTCTGTTTGGAACATGCTAAATGTGAGGTGTCTATTAAACATCCAGGTGATAATGCCGAGTAAGCAGATGGGCACACAAGTCCCCCGGAGACCTCAGGGAAGAGGCCTGGGCTGAAGACAGGAAGCTGTGGCTCAGTGTGTGGATGCGTTGAAAACCACAGGGCACAACAAGATCCCCCAGGAAGGACCAGGGGCTCAGGGCTGATCCCTGGGCGATGCCACTGCATAGATACCAGGCAGAGGAAGTCCTGCCAAGGAGACTGAGACAGAGCAGCTGGTGAGACCGGAGGCAATCACTCATAGGGATTGAGTCCATTCAGCCATGTTGGAGTGGGAAATTCCAATTAAGAATTATGTTACCTTTTGTGCATAAAATACATTTTGGGGGGACACACAAAGGAGGAGTCTCATGCAGAAGATCCACCTTTGAAGATAGTTCTCCTGCCTTCACCACCTGCTCTGTTTGCAGAAGATGGACCTGAAATATTGTTGAGAGAAAAAGAGAGTCTCACCATCCCCTAATTGCCAAAGCCCCAAAGTAGTCTTGGATCCCATTTTATTTACCCCCCATATTTGATCTATCAACGAGTACTGTTGGTTCTATCTAATAAGCATCCCACATCCATCCACCGGTCACACCCTCGTTGCCACCATCCTGCCTCAAACCATCACGTTCTCTTTCCTGGACAACAGTCACTTCCTAACAGGGCAGGGTTGGGCTACCATTTCCACGCTCACTCTCCTGCAATCCATCCTCCTGGCAGTAGCCAGAGGGATTTTTCTAAAATATAAATCAGAATGTTACCTTCAAGCCCTCAAGTGAAATGACCTAAATGATTATCAATAGGGAGCTGTTCAATAAATAACAGTTCATACACCCAAGCAATGAAATACTCTGCAGATGTAAAGCGAACGTTGATGAGAACATTCTCTTACCAGTACTGGTACAAACGTGCTCCAAGAGACACGAAGTGAAAAAAGCAAAGTGTGACTATTATGCTACCATTTATGAAAGAAAAGGGGCGGAAGAGTGTGTGTGCATGTTTGATTGTTCATGTGTGACATTTCTGCAAGAAAACATAAGACACTTGTCCCTACATGGCTTCCAGGGAGAGGATGTGGGCAGGAGGGGTGGTAGGATGGAAGGGAGATTGTCTACTTCTTGGGACTTCTGAATTTTGAACCCTATGACTCTTGAACAGCCATATTAGCTGTTGTTATTTATTCAGTAATCAATAGATTAAATTACAATTTTTACATGAATTAAATAACTCTGTTATCTCACTTAACAGAAAATCTAGTCTCTTCACCTGCGAGGCCTCGTAACCCACCTGCCCCATCTCTGCCTTCCCCTTCCAGCACTTTCTCACTAAGTTCCAGCCACACTGGCCTCCTCTCGATCCTCAACATGGCAAACTTAGTTCCTTCCGAGGGCTTTGGGCTCACTGACCCCAGTGGTACTCATACTCTGTCCTTCCTAGATGCCTCTATACATCTTCCCTGACCTCAGTTTAAATTTCCTACTCCCACCCCCATCACTGAAAATCCATGTTCTACTTTCTCCATAGCAACTGATCTATCTGAAATTATTTTATTTACTCACTTATTGTACGTCTCCCCTACTAGGCTCAGATGTCACCATAATCCTGACACCTCGAATGGTGCCTGGCTCATGCCATACAATAAATATTTGTTAATGAATGAATGAGTGTTTTTCTACTTGTGCTTAAATCTCATCATGGTCCTAATGGTCATACTACTTGTAATAGCTCGCATTTTGTGACTCTATAGTTCATGGTGACCTCATAGAGACGACAGTCCTAATCCTGGCTTGGCTTCTTTTTAGCTCTGTGACCTTGGGCAAGTCACAAACCTCACTGGGTTTTGTGGATATTAAATGACAGCCAAGGAATGAAGGGCTGGTTGTGGCAGGGCTCCCTGGGAGCAGGCCGGGTGGGGAGGACCGTTGCCTATTTCAGGTGGGGAGATAGATCCAGTCTGGGGAGGCGACGGGCCCAAGGTCACGTAACCCAAGGAGCTGAGGCCTCCACTTCAGGGCTTCCGACTCCATGTTCAGTGCACGAGTGCAACAGGCTGTTTCTTTTCTAATCCTACAAGAGCCCCTGCCCCTCCTCCACTGGGAATAAAGTCTACACTTATGATCAACAAATAACCCTCATTACTGGGAATTGGTAGTTCATTTTTTGATTTTCTTCTTGTAAATGAGTGATATGTTTTGGCCTGGGAAACAGTACATAGAGTTTCCAGACAACATCATCAAATTAAATGGTGTGCCACACCGATTTAGGAAAACTGTTCATCTCATTGTTTCTTAAAAGGAGTGAAACGGTTGACCGGCTTTGCCTCTGCGTGTTTATTTGTTATAACTGATAGAAACACCGGCATTTACAGCCAGAGAATTGAGCCCGTATTCTAGATGCCTAAATACAATGTGGTTTTCCAGATACAGTGTTCACGTTGTATTCTGTCAATTTAGACTGCGGCCCGCAGGAGCAAGGGCTGGGTTTGTAATGACTTGGAGGAGGCTGTGAATCTCCGAGATTTGACAACAGATGTCACTAGTGCCACATTGCTCACAGAGCCATCGTGCTACCTGGCATTTCGGAGTTCATATGTTTGCTTTGGTGAGAATGCAGCAGCTTATTGTCAAAAATTTCTGCCTCCTGCCAGCCACTACACCACAGCCGACCTCATTTATCCCTGCAACGGCTTTAGGAAGTCACAACACAATCCCCCTTTTACAGGCAGCGAAACTGAGGCTCAGAGTGGCCGAATATTGCCCAAGGTCATTCAGAGAATGACCCGTGCCTGTCCATCTCTAAAGCTGCACTCTTTTCATGCTATCTTTGGTTAAAACCCAGTGTCACTATGAACAGTCCCCAAAGCGTGCCATCCTTGGAGAGTGTCTACCTTGCAGCCATCCGTCTGAGCCAATTAGAGCTACTCCGACTAGGAGTGTCACACTGAAGCAGATCAGTAGAGGCAGAATGGGCTGAAATACAGAATTTAATCGAGCAAAATGATGGCACAGTTGTTCCCAGAAGCAGAGTCCCAGTAGGCCCCCTAGCCCGCAGCTCCCTGCTGCTAAGTCGCTGACATTTGAAAAGCTTGCTCCTTAACAAATTATGCATCCATTTTCCTTTCCACCTCCTCTCTGTGAAGTAGCAATCAGTGTTGTCATTCATTCTTCAGGAAATCAGCCAGGGTATGCCAGGGAGTCTGCAACTGAGATCTTAAGATGTCTCTTTCTTGCAAAACCTGGGAACAAAGAAGCTGTGTTGTGCCCCTTGACTCATGTCACTCTTTCCGATGCAAAGCGGAGAATGTGTTTATCAGGCCACCATACCCCAAGTGAGGCGGGGGAGGCCAGAGACAGGAGAGGGTGAGACATGGAGGTCATCCTGGGTCTTTTGGGGTGGGGAACATTTCCCTGTAGGCCAAGTGCCCTGTACATGTGGTCCCACCTAATCCAAATGGCCCTGCTAAGTAGCTGGCCGCCCCTCCCATTTTACAGATGGAGAAAGAGAGGTTTGGGGGTCCCATGACTTAGCCCAGAGCCTGGGTTCAAAGCAGATCCCTCTGGCTGAGGCATTGCATTCCTCTGGGAACCCCACTCTGTCACCAGTGCCAGCCCCTCCTCCACCCTATTCTCTAGGGTGGATCCCCGGAGATGTGACTTCCACTTCCAGGTGCTATCTAGGCTGGGTCTCCGTGGACAGACCATGTCTTCCCTCTGATCCTCAGTTTCCAATGACAAAAGTCCAGTGACGGTTGTTAGAGGCTCAGATCAGACAGGGTCCACCCAGCATTATTGCTGGAGTTCCCACCTGGGGCCAGGTGCTGGGGCCAGGAACGGGGGAGCAGAGGGTCTTACAATTGTGCGGAAGGGATAGCTCAGGCAGGTGTTTTGTAATCTGCGAAGCACCGTACAAAAGCAAGTTAATGTGAAGTAAATATCATCACCTCACTGAAATGCAGAGAAGGTTCCTTTTCTTAGAGTAGCCTATGATTAGGTTGGAATTTTTCAAATAGAACATCATCCAGGAAACTAAAGAAAAATATACCTTCCGAGAAGCATAGAAAGAAGAGAGTTTGCCCAAGACAGATTTGGGGACTCCCCTTATAAAATCATTTAAGCCTGGTACACAGTGCCATGGGCCAGGGAGGGATGGAGACAGCGTCCCCCTCCAGGGGCCCAGATGTGGTTCTGGTGCAGAGCACACCTGCGCCCACCTCCTAGCGGGCTGCTTTCTTTCCTCAGAGGCAGGATTTCCACGTGCTCATTCATCAGGATGTCATCCACAGCTTCATTCATTCATCCATCCATTCATCCATCCATGTCATTTCTCTTATACCAGCCCTTGGCGTTAATGGTTTGCACTCTACAACTAACTTCAAAAGAGTGGTCGGTGTTCAAACATGAAGAAAGCGTGCTTTTTCTTAAGCAGGTACCTACAACGGGAAGTTACGTGTGTAAAATTTCCCTGTGATTCTGTTCCCCCAGCTACTCCTTGTATGGGGCCTCCCACGCAGAGTGCCAACAACCAGGGCTGAAGGCACAAAGGGAAAGGACCTGGCCATGTTGTGTAAGTCTCGTGGCAGGCTCCCTCCCTTCCCTAGATCAAAAAACAAAAGGCTCATGAGACCAGATCCGCCAAGGACCTGCCAAGGATGACTGCCCCGCTGAAAACTACCACATCTGGATAAGAAAGTTTTGGCTCCTGGATTCCGCAAATACTGCCAGCCCCTCCTATTTCTCAATGCCCACCAAAGGTGGCCCCAGCTCTTCCTGCCAAAAGTCTCTAGCCCGGCCCAAATGGTATAAAAGACCTCACCCTCTTCAAACAGGGGTGACTTCTGGGGCCCCCTCTCTTGGGACCCCAGAACCTCATCCGGGAGTGCATAATAAAGCCATGTGGTTTGGCCCCCACTCTTTCTCTCTCTCTGTCTTTTCTTTTCACCGCTGCCGAAAAACATTACATGTTGGACAGATGGGAACCTGGGGGGAGGGAGCCCACTGGAGTCCGGGCGACTCTGGGCATGGTTCTGATCGTGCTGAGGAGGTGTCTGGTGCCGGCTGGGTTGGGGGCTCCGTCTTCTGGAGGAGACAGAGTGGGAAGGAACCCCCAGCCAGGTCGTGGAGCACTGAGGCTCCTCTGGCTCCCAGGAAAGTGCTTTGTTCATGGTCCCACCATTTTTGACGATTACTCGGGCAATTCTGATAAGAGCTGTCCACTCTGCCCTGGGTACAAAGAAGGAGGGTCAAAAACTCCTGAGCACTTACCAGAATGCCTCAGAATAGCCAGAGCTAAGATAAACCAGGTGAACTCACTGAATCCTCCTAGCAAATACATGGGGTGGTAGCTATCGTCGTCTCTCATCTCATCTTGTTTCACTCGTCTCATCTCATCTCTTCTCATATCACTGTAATTCTGTTATATGTCATAAGTCAGGAAAGAGAGCAATGGAAATGGGGTTGAGGAAAACCTGTCTGATGTATTATAAATGAGGAAATTGGGATCTACAGAGGATACACAACTTGCTCAACGCCACAGAACTTTAAGTGGCGTGGCCTGGCGCATCACAGCTGGAACCAGGCCTCTGGACCACCAGGCTAAACAGCCTCTCAAAATGCTGAAGGAGCCAGGGAGGGAGTGACTGATACTACCTGGGATTCTGGCTGGGGAGGGGAGAGGCTGGTCAGGTAGACCTTCCAGAACACAGGTGAGCTAGGTATCCTACGAGCTGAATTCCATCCCATGGAATTCCCATGGGGAAGGTGGGAAAGGGCGTTGTAGACAGAAATGATACTCTGGTTGCACGTGCAAAGGCTGAGCAGGCCGAGGGGGTGGCGAGCATGGGCCATGGGTGTGCACAGTCGTGTGTGTGAGCGTGCAGGGAGAGATGGACACAGGTGGGGCTGGAGAGGAGGCAGGAGCCTGGGACTTGGGGACCCAGGTTCCATGCCGAGCAGTGTGCTAGCTACAGCGACAACCACCTGTGGCCTCTGTGGGCTCATGGATTCTCCTAAAGGAGGGCCTCAGGGGAAAGCCAGCCCAGCCACCGTGTTGTCCCCATGAGAACTCCGACATCCAGAGCAAAAGGGGCTCCTGTGAGCTCCCACCATCACTTAGGAGCAGAGAGAAAGGACGCAGCCTGCTGACTCCCAGGCCAGCCCTACTTCCCACGAAACAAGGGGAGAGGGAATTAGCGTTGACTGAGCCCAACTCTGAGCCAGGCATTTGCCCCCTATGCAAGGAAGAGAGTGAGAGATTCCTGAAAACTGGTCCAAACAGAGTGCTATGAGCCTGCCCAGGAAAGGAAGCTCACTCCAGTGAAAAGTCCAAGAGGACCTGCGGGAGGGAGGACTTTTGAGCTAAATCTGTGTTTCTCAAAGTGTGGTCCCAGACCAGCAGCGTCGGCATCACCTTGGAACTTGTAAGTAACACAGACTCAGGCCTGCGCCAGACTTGCCAAATAGACACCCTGGGGGACAGGGTCCGGCCATCTGTGCTTCAGATGACCCTGGCGCGCAGGTGTGAGACCACCGGGCTGGACCATCTTGCAACCGCCAAGTCAGTTTCCGCCACATCCTCCTGGCCTTGAGGTTTCCGGGATTCTTCTTAGTCCCCTGGGTGACTCTCCGCTTCATTCACACACGTCATCAATAGGTTGGCAGA